TGGTGAGGTTTTATTAATGGCCAAGAGGTGGAGCTATTGTAGGTAGAATTTTATGAATGTTACACACACATGCAATGTGAGTTTATGTACAACATGCAATAAGTAAAACACAAAGCTTCAAGTCTGGTGAAGATTGGATGAAATATGTGCCAAAAAAGGTGTGAATGGGCGTGGCCTATATCAGTAAAATTAGCATCAACCAAGGAACCCACTGTATAAAAATGTTTCTTCTACTCCTAACAATTCACAGGTTATAAGCCAAAATGTAAAAAATTAATAACAACCACATGGTGGTGTAGAGCTGCATCTACAGCACACACCTATGCCCTGTATCTGAAGCACTGACCTCTGCTATGTATGTACAGCATTGATCTCTTCCCTGTATCTACAGCATTTACCAAAATATGTATTAGGACGAATAATAAAAGTCTCAGAGTTGTTTTAACTACATTTCAAAGAGTCTGCTGCCTCCTGCATTTAGCCACTGCTGGTGCTATAGGAGAGCAAACTGCCACCGCTTTCCAGTTTGGCTGCCACCTCCAGCACGCTGCTGTTGGCGTTTCCTGCCTCGACCCTGGGTAGGTTTAATATACATTTTAATTGTATGTACAGTGTATTTTTTGTGTATCGTATTGTGCTCTCCTGTCCAGTTGGACTCCAGAAACCCTGATCACAATAATGAAATGAAGATTGTTTTCCAATTTTGTTACAATTTCCCCACACGGTTTCTGGTAGCCTATTGGGCGGCTTAGGCACAAATATACATTTATCACAATAATAATATCAAGGTTACTATTAGGTCATACAGGATTAAACATTATTTAAAATAGGAAAACACAATACAGGAAGGAGTGAATTTGTGATCAAGAAGAAACTTTACAACATGTTCTGGTTTACTGTCCAAAATGTGTTGCTGAGGGAAGGGAACTGATACTGAAGCTGAAAGAAATAAAGCTGAGCTTTGACTTATGAGATCTTTTACAAAGAAGTTCTGGGGAGAAGTGTTTTATCTCTATTCGCTTCAATATCTCAACTTAATAGAAATAATATAACTTTATTTGTCCTCATCTTCTGTTATTTATTAGTAGTGTTAGTGAATGTATAGTCAGATTCCCGATACACACTCCATAACAGTTGGTGGCGCTAATGCTCCATAACGTTGTTTGCCAGCCGCCATTAAACACCACGAAGAAGAAGCACCGGAAATGATTGTCCTGGTTCAGAGTGGAACAAGATGGCGTCCAGTAACAACGTGTCCCGTTGTCGTGCTGAGAAAGTGTGTGTGACATCCACAGTAATGAGCCATCCGAGCCTCCGTATGTCCGGATAAAGCTGTCTGAATGGACTTTGTGCTGTTCACCGTTTTTCGGAATGTTTTCCCGCTGACTCATCTCCCGGTAGCCTACAAAGCTACAGAAGTTAGCTTAGCATGCTAGCTGTAAACAGAGCGGAGCTTAGCAACACAGCGCTAGTCAGAGTGACTGTTTGATGGAGAGCAAACAGTGTTTTTGACGGAGTTTGTGTGATTGTGTGAAAATGTGTAAAGTCCAAATGCTGAGAGCGTTGGTGAAGCAGCGACTAACTGCGGCTGCTGAAGAGATATTTGGGCTGTTTGAAAGAACGATAGCAGAGTACGAGGAGGAACTTTGTCGTTCAAAAGAGGAGAACGAGCGACAACGGAAACTACTGGACGCTGTTTTCAACCCTCAACTTCGGTTACACAGAGCAGGTTGGTTCACTGTACTGCTTCTTCTCTCACTGTTCACACTCTGAGCTGGAAGTAGTATTCACAGCCTTTACTGCAGTAACAGGATGATCAGCACAATGGACTCAAAGGAAAAGTAGTGATAGTGCAGGAACAGGTTGGACTATTATATCTGATGGATCAATATTACTGCTGCATTCATGTGGATGTAGATGTTGAACTACTTTATTTAATCTACAGCAACGTGTCAGATTCTATAAGATCATCATATGTTTGTCCTGTGAGAACCACCGAGCTCTAAAAGTCAGAAATAAACAACAAATACATTTCATCATCAAACTGAGCATTTGACTGTAAGCTACAATCAAATTTCATATTATCATTCTTCACATAGATGAAGTGTGAACTGCTCCTGATGCTGTGCGTCACTGTGTGAGTGTGGAGGCAGTACGGCTGTCAGAGTTGGACAAAAGTGATTGATTATGCTTTCCAATAAACCCACATACAATTGATCTATTCGACTATCTATTGCACATATGGACGTTATATAATAATGTGCATTATGTCCAGATAAGGCAAGTCAGTATGAGAGACGTAATGTCTTATAGGTAGGGTTATTTTAACTTTAACATGTCTTTTAAAATATCTTCATAGCATGAAACGATAATGCACATTCACGCTCCAAGCTGTGTGCTATTATTAATAATAGTTATTATTAATAATAGCTATTTTATCTTTTGATTCACTTGAAACAAAATAATAATCTGGAACCTGCGTGCACAAAGCTTCAGTCTCTAGCCTATTTAATTGTTCAATATTTATTTATTCAGTCAGTACAGTCCAATACAGTAGCCTAGACCTTTAGAATATTCTTGTTTCAATGTCACTAAAAATAAAATTTACCCTGAGGGGAGGTTAAAGTAGTAATAGAAATTGAAAAATACTGTACCACATTCACTGCTCCTGTTCCCTGCAGATCATATCACATGTACTGTTCAACCAGAGATATTTAAATATGTTGGACAGGGCTCCAGAGTGCGACCAAAATTTTTCTAGGTCGCACTGGTGCACCTGACGCTGCCCGGGTGAAAACATAAATTTATTTCGCAAGTGCATCATCTCTCTGTGTTGTCCTGTGACCGAACTCACACACTCATGGTAGGATCATATCGTGTTCTAAACCAATAAGAGACAGAGCTCGGGCGGGTCTTTGCCTCTGATTGGCTGTGGTCCTGTTCACCATGCTAAGTTGTGCGCGTTTAAAAGTTGCGCGCGACCTGAGCGCCAGAATAGCTGACTAACTGAAACGGAAAAATAAAATAAACGCAACAAAACGAGGGAAAATGAAGAGCCTACAACCAGCCCTACTACTATAATCCCATCCATCCCCACTACTGAGAGTCCATCCCAGAGAAATAAATGGAAACATCACCCAAAGATTCTTCATTGGTTCGCGCCATACGGTCACCTTTTTATCGCCCTCCATAACTTTCATGTAATGTGAATGATTTTTAAACAAGAATAAGGTGTAAATAAATGCTTCTCTTTATTTGAAGCACAATTATATATAAAAGAAAAATAAAGTGTTTAAAGTGCTTCACTGAGCTGAAATTGAACATTTCAAACTCAAACATTTCAAGTAAAATAAAACATTTCAAAATAAAAAGTGCAACTTTTTAAAGAGCTTACTACTACCTGCCGCTGAAATGCAGCTGGGAGAGGGGCCACTTTCTCTACACGCTTGTCACGGCATATCGTGTGTTTTTTAGACATGTTGTGTTTTTTTAAAGTTTCGTTGCGAAACGTTGTTGACCCGCTCAAGAATGCCGGCCATATTCTGACCGCACTCCTGACAGTTCATGCAGTGCATTGCGTTACGTCCTTTGTTGAACCTCAGCCAGGGAAATTGTTTCAGCCAGTCCTGTCTGAAGGAATACATTTTGGCCTTTTTAATTTGGGTCTTGGAGCCGGGCTCTATCCCAGACTCGGTTCTCTCCTCCTCTGGTTCCGAGTCTGATGCTGTCGCCGAAGGACCGGGTCTTGGTATCTCACCAGGGACCGAGGGCTCCGTGTCTTGACGGGATTCAATTCAATTCAATTCAATTTTATTTGTATAGCGCCAATTCATAACAGAAGTTATCTCAGGACACTTTTCAAATAGAGCAGGTCTAGACCGAACTCTTTAACATTAATTACAGAGACCCAACAGTACCACCATGAGCAAGCACTTGGCGACAAGGGCAAGGAAAAACTGCCTGTTAAAAGGCAGAAACCTAGGACAGATCCTCCGGCTCTAGGTGGGTGGTCGTCTGTCTCGACCAGTTGGGGTGAGAGAGAGAGAGAGAGAGAGAGAGAGAGAGAGACAGACAGACAGACAGACAGACAGGTGCACAGCCACAACAGTATTGGCAATGGCAATCTAGCAGGACCATGGCAGGAGGCTCCACCAGGATCGATAAGAACCTGCGAGACGAGAAAGCACAAGAACTCCGGGGAAGAAGTGAAGTTAGTAACATGCATTAATGGAACATGAATGAGTGCAGAAAGAGAGAGGAAGGGAGGAGCTCAGTGCACCATGGGAAATCCCCCGATAGTCTAGGCCTATAGCAGCATAACTAAGGGATGGTTCAGGACTCACCTGATCCAGCCCTAACTATAAGCTTTATCAAAGAGGACTGTCTTAAGCCTACTCTTGAATGTGGTGAGGGTGTCTGCCTCCCGAACCACAAATGGAAGCTGGAGAGGAGCTTGGTAACTGAAGGCTCTGGCTCCTGTTCTACTTTTAGAAACTATAGGAACCACAAGTAGCCCAGCATTCAGAGAACGTAGTGTTCTAGAGGGGTAATAGGGTACTATGAGCTCTTTAAGATATGAAGGGGCCTGACCATGAAGAGCTTTATAGGTGAGGAGGAGGATTTTAAATTCTATTCTACATTTTACAGGGAGCCAATGCAGAGAAGTTAGTACAGGAGAGATGTGATCTGTTTTTCTAGTTCCTGTCAGTACTCGTGCTGCAGCGTTCTGAATTAATTGGAGCGTTTTAATGGACTTATTGGGGCAACCTGATAATAAAGAGTTGCAGTAATCCAGCCTTGAAGTAACAAATGCACTTTCCAGGAAGTCTTCTGCTGATAATCCTCGTGAGACCTTGTCAACAGATTTCAACTTGGTTCCAATGTGTTTCCACTGAGTGACATCTTCAGCCTGATGATGGTCCAACAGTTATCCAGTCTGGATTTAACAGAAATTGGTGGTTTTCCATAATGTCTATCTCTGTGTTTACTGTGTCCTGCAGACGTCCAGCAGCTGTTGGTGATTAAAGAAGAGGTTCCCCCTGAGCAGCAGCAGGAGTGCAGACCCAGTTTGGACCAGGAGGACCCAGAGCCCCCACAAATTAAAGAGGAACAGGAGGAAGTCAGGACAAGTCAGGAAGAAGTCAGGACCAGTAAGGAGGGAGACCAGCTTCAAGGGTTCACATTCACTCCTGTCCCTGTGAAGAATGAAGATGATGATGATAAAGAGAAACCTCAGTCCTCACAGCTTCATCAAATACAAACTGAACAGATGGAAACAGATGATAGAGAGGACTGTGGAGGACCAGAACCAGCCAGAAACTCAGATCCAGATGAACATTCACAACCTGATGTGGATGGTAAGACTGAAGACTCTTCTGAATCTGAGACTGATGATAGAGACAATGATTTTAAAGAGACCAGGGAACCTCAGTCAGGTGATGTTACCAATATAAAGCCTTTGAGCTGTTCACATTTTAGCTGTACAGTGTGCGGCAAAATATTCAGTATATTCAAGGTACGCATTTGCAGAAGCACATGAAAACTCACACACATAGCATAACAGTGAAAGTTAATGGAGTGATTCCTAATAATGTTGCCTAAGGGAAGCATATATAAAGTAAATAGTATTGGTCCAAGTACAGAACCTTGTGGAACTCCATGACTAACTGTAGTATTTATTGAAGATTCATCGTTAACATGTACAAACTGCAAACGATCTGATAAGTATGACTTAAACCGGCTTAGTGCGGTTCCTTTAATGCAAATTTGATGCTCAAGTCTCTGTAAAAGAATATTAGGGTCAATGGTGCCAAATGCAGCACTAAGATCTAATGATTCAAGTACAGAGACAAGTCCATTGTCTGAAGCAATCAAAAGGTCATTATTAACTTTAACCAGAGCTGTCTCTGTGCTGTGATGAACTCTAAATCCTGACTGAAAATCCTCAAACTATTGTTATGTAGAAAGTCACACAACTCTTTGGCGACTACTTTCTCCAGAATCTTAGAGAGGAAGGGGAGGTTAGAGACCCCTGGGTCAAGAGTGGGCTTTTTAAGAAGGGGTTTAATTACAGCTACTTTAAAGGACTGTGGTACATATCCTGATAATAAAGAAAGTTTAATCATATCCAGTAAAGAAGTGCCAATTAAGGGTACGACTTCTTTAAGCAGCCTAGTTGGGATTGGGTCTAACAGACAGGTTGATGGCTTCGATGTAGAAATTATTGAAGTTAACTGATGAAGATCGATAGCAGAAAAACAGTCTAAATATATATCTGAGTTTACATTAGTTAAATCAAGACCATACAAGTTATTATATTTGCCCAAACAATCATTTTTGCAAGGCAAAGTTTCTTTTATGTTACATACCAGTTTTATGATGCTCCTGATGTGCAGATCAGGACAGTCTACTGTAACAACAGTTGCCATTTCAGGGTCCCCATTGAACAGTACATGAATTACAGCAGGACTTAAACCTGTGACATGGGGACCGTCATGAAGAAAGGTGTGGGTCAACATCCTTCCTGCAGCCTGGAAGAGGTTGCTTTCAATAAGTGCCTCTGATGCTGCTGGAACAAGATGGTCAGGTTCACCCTTAAATAGTAGTGTTCGGCCCATTCCTCCTGTACAGTACCAAGAGAGCAGGGGATAAAGTCACAACAATTAACCTCTTAAATACATTTTAAAAATTACATCATATTAACCTTCAAAATAGTAAGAGACTTACCAAGATCTTGACTGAATCCAAACTGGAGTTTGGATATGATTGTTGTCATAAAGTACTTCATCACTCCCTCTCCGATAGCAACATCACCTGAAATAAAATACTGATAATAACACAGTGGAAAAACAGTGGCTGACTAATACAGGTAACTGGAATAGGTAACATTTAACAAGCAAGGGTAAATAGTCAATTCATACTTTGCACATGACGTCACAACTACTAGCTGGCGGGCAAGAACATCGTTCTCCAGCAACGAAACCCAGTAAACTAATCAAGGATCTTGCCAGGACGTCGCCAGTTTTACTATACAAAAGTAAATATATATCATATGTACGTGATTTGATATATGATGAGAAGAAGAATACATGTTACAGTACACACGTTACTGTTGTACTGCGTCTACTTACTTACAGTTACTTTGCATACATACTATGGTACAGTTATTACTACTACATTAACGTTACAACCTAACAGATTGCTAACAGGATTAAAGGCCTTTCGCTGCCCCAGCTGCTCTTGTCTGTTGTCTGATGCTATGTGGAGTGGATGAGCAGGTAGGCTACAATGTTTGACATCCTGTTAGCCATATATGATACAGCCTAGTTGGCATAAGGGTCTTTTTAAACTAACGCTACTTATCAAGCTGTCATTGGCCGGCAGGCAGGGTGTACATATTCAGATGAAGACTTCATCACACGACGGAACAGATGTCACTTTGTGTATAGCTACAGACATGCAAACATTAGCAAATGTTAGCGGGTAACGTTAGCTAGCTAACTAGTAACACTCACGTTTGCTTATTCCTGTTTTTCACCTCCCATACAACAGCGTTGTTAACCCATCCACTCTTGAAGAAAAGATAGCTATCCGTACTTTTGTAGGCTTTCATTTTTTGTGCGGTGTAAGGTGATGGATATATGTTAATATATAAGTTTCTTGCCCGCCAGGTAACCATGGTAATCACGTGACTGCAAAGTATGAATATTCTATTGGCTGTAATTCTAGAATAGCATCCTTAATATTGATTCTTCCAGATAACAGGAGAATATTGTGCACAATATACACACACATGTAACACATATTTTCATAAGTGGTCATCAATTATATGATTTTTTGGATTCCATTCTCCCATTTAACAATTCCATAAAAGATACTTCAGTGGTATAAACTGTACTGATACATTTATATTACAAACTTTATATTACTTACCAACAAGAGTACACTGAAGTGGACTTGCCCATTTTTGCTGCTGTTTACAGAATAAGAGAAGTTCCCGTTCCCTGTCCTCTTCAGAGTCCCTTACATCCATCTTCATTCTAAGTGGTTTCCCAGATGCATGTTCCCTTAGCAGATTCTCTTTGAAAACTTTGGCAGCTTGAGTCGGTTCTTTAATAAGCTCCATTCTAAACAAACAACAACAATAAAGTTATCTATTCCAGAGAGACATGTTGTGAGTTGGCATGTTACCTGCAGATACAGATATCCTCTCACTCTACAGAAAAGGAGGAAAATTCTGTCCATGTCACTGACAAAACGTGAGACCCAACATCTTCAGAATCTGTCACAAAGCTGAGTTGAAATAAAAACAGCAAAACAGCAATCTGAACAAAAACTAAATATTACAAAAATAGAAAATATCACCCAGGTGCAAGTTATTAATTGTCTGTAACTGTATTATCTTATTTAATTATATCCTGAAGGTGTTATCTTTCTATTGACTTTTCAGTTTCAGTTACACACAATCTTATAGCAACCCTATTGTGATGACACAAACCACTGTCTGTTTCTTTGCGATCCAACTCCTCGTTGACAATCAGTGCTGGTACTACTGCAGAGCTGTCTCACTATCATTTTCTTCACTTTGGCCTCCCTTTTGTTCTCTTTCTGATTCCTGCATGGGTGTCCTTGAAGTTATCACAATTCAAATTACGGTCATACTCTCTTATTTGTGTGCACAACACTCTAAGAGAGACATATTCCCAAAGAAAATTGAATATGCTACCCTTGCATTGCTTTAGGAAGTACATACCCATTGCAGCTCAATCTGTGCAGCTTCATCTCTGAAAAGGGAACTTCCTTCTGACAAGTGATGCAGGGGATGACTGGACCAGAGGCAGGACGTGAGCTCTTCTAACAACAACAGATGGCTTTCAATTAATGATTAAAAGTCACCAGTAATCTTTGTTTTGATTATGTACTAAAGTAGGTCTCTGTAAATTTATGTACACAATCTAAGGGTACATCCTGTAGAAGTGGACGTATGTAGATTGTAGCCTGTCCAATCATCGTCAGTGGATCATCCAGATAGGCAAGGGTGTATCCAGTGCTGGGACACTGAAGCAATGCAAGATTTCGACTGCGAGTAGATCCTGCAAATTTTAGAGATTCAAAGCCCTCCCCCTTGTTGGAGCTTCGGAAACACTTCCATCAGTTGATTTGTTATAACCATGGGATCGTGGTCATTCCCTGGAGTAAAAAAAAATAAAATCATAACTCATATTGACTTACCTAAAACTAAACAAACAAGCCTGTTAATATTATTCACACTATGAAAATCAATTAAGTTTGAGTCATTATAAAAAAAATAATGCTTAGAAGAACTGCAAATAATTTCAACAAGCAACAGACAGTACAAACTTTTGGTAAATGCATAGTTTCGCACTGACCTGAAAATGTCACTTTTTGCTCTCCAAGTCCTGAAGTAAGAAGGTCCGCTTTAAGCGGTACACTTGGAATTTTATCCGCCTTGTGGTCAGCCAAACAACAGACAGTGTGTGTGTGGCTTCTTCGGCTAACTTGGACTCGTGCTGGTCGTCTCGTCATATTCCTTCTGGCTCCAATGTTATATGGTGCAAAGAGGCTTGCTACCTCCGCTGCAACAAACAAAAACGTCACAGCTCAGTGGTCACCAGTCAGCTAAAACAGCCTCAACTTCTATTTTGGGATGCTCAAGCCAGCTAACACTATTTAGCCGATTAGCAAACTTGTTTTATTTTCCCACCATTAACAATGAACGTATTACGCACGAAGCATCATGAGCCTACTGCATACAAATACATTTTCGAGTCGATCTAATTTAACCCACACCTCTGTCCCGAGTCATTGATTAGTAACACACCCAGCTAACAGGAAATTACTTAGATTACCTTGGACAGGTGTACGTGATTGAGCGGCAGGTATCTGCTGTGACTGAGCTGCCGGAGCCGCAGGAGCCGAAGGAGTTCTGCTCAGAGCTTCCTCAATCAAATTCACTGCTTCTCTCAGCAGCTCCGGGCACGTTTTAGACATTTTGTCCTGCACCTCGCACGCTGTCTCAACATTGGGGCTAGCAGGACAGAATAGACTGAATAGAAGATCTAAACCAACGTAGAGGTGAATAGCGCCACCCAGTGTATTGAAATGTGTTCACTAGCTCTGCATCGATCCATTATCTGGAATTAATTTGCCTTGGCTTGATGCGCAGAGTAACCAATCAGGCTTTAGGATCCACCTACCAACTTTGATGGGCGAGTTTGACAGATAAAAATAATTCATGAAGCACTGCAACACAGGACCATGAAATAATTAAATAAATAGTTAAATAATTATGTTTTTTACATAAAATGAATCTGTATTTTAATTAATTGACACATTTAAGTAATTATTTAATGGTGTATTTATTTAGCACTTTTTTGGGCACTTTTAGTCCATAGTACAGAAGCCTACATCTTTTTAGAATATTCTTGTTTCAGTGTCACTAAAAATAAAAATTTACCCTGAGGGGAGGTTAATTCAATTCAATTCAATTTTATTTGTATAGCGCCAATTCATAACAGAAGTTATCTCAGGACACTTTTCAAATAGAGCAGGTCTAGACCGAACTCTTTATAACATTATTTACCAAGACCCAACAGTACCACCATGAGCAAGCACTTGGCGACAAGGGCAAGGAAAAACTGCCTGTTAAAAGGCAGAAACCTAGGACAGATCCTTTAGCTGTAGGTGGGTGTTCGTCTGTCTCGACCAATTGGGGTGAGAGAGAGACAGAGAGAGAGAGAGGAACAGACAGACAGACAGACAGACAGACAGACAGGTGCACAGAAACAACAGTATTGGCAATGGCAATCTAGCAGGACCATGGCAGGAGGCTCCACCAGGATCGATAAGAACCTGCGAGATGAGAAAGCACAAGAACTCCAAGGAAGAAGTGAAGTTAGTAACCTGCATTAATGGGACATGAATGAGTGCAGAAAGAGAGAGGAAGAGAGGAGCTCAGTGCACCATGGGAAATCCCCCGATAGTCTAGGCCTATAGCAGCATAACTAAGGGATGGTTCAGGACTCACCTGATCCATCCTAACTATAGGCTTTATCAAAGAGGAACGTCTTAAGCCTACTCTTGAATGTGGAGAGGGTGTCTGCCTCCCGAACCACAACTGGAGGCTGGTTCCACAGGAGAGGAGCTTGGTAACTGAAGGCTCTGGCTCTTGTTCTACTTTTAGAGACTATAGGAACCACAAGTAGCCCAGCATTCAGAGAACGTAGTGTTCTAGAGGGGTAATAGGGTACTATGAGCTCTTTAAGATATGAAGGGGCCTGACCATGAAGAGCTTTATAGGTGAGGAGGAGGATTTTAAATTCTATTCTACATTTTACAGGGAGCCAGTGCAGAGAAGCTAGTACAGGAGAGATATGATCTGTTTTTCTAGTTCCTGTCAGTACTCGTGCTGCAGCGTTCTGAATTAATTGGAGCGTTTTAATGGACTTATTGGGGCAACCTGATAATAAAGAGTTGCAGTAATTCAGCCTTGAATTAACAAATGCATGGATTAGTTTTTCTGCATCTGTCTGTGATAGGATGTGTGAATTTTTGTAATATTACGTAAATGAAAGAAGGAGGTCCTAGAGGTCTGCTTTATGTGGGAGTTAAATGACAAATCCTGATCAAAGATAACTCCAAGATTCCTGACAGCGGTGCTAGAGGCCAAGATAATGCCATCTAGACTAACTATATCTTTAGACAGTGAGTCTCTAAGGTTTTTGGGGCCAATTTCTGAGTTTCACATCAGAAAATTGCAGCTCATTCCGGATTTTATGTCCTTAAGACATGTTTGTAATTTAGATAATTGATTAATTTCATCGGGCTTGATCGATAGATATAACTGCGTATCATCTGCATAACAGTGAAAGTTAATGCAGTGATTCCTAATAATGTTGCCTAAAGGGAGCATATATAAAGTAAATAGTATCGGTCCAAGTACAGAACCTTGTGGAACTCCATGACTAACTGTAGTATTTGTTGAAGATTCATCGTTGACATGTACAAACTGCGAACGATCTGATAAATATGACTTAAACCAGCTTAGTGCGGTTCTTTTAATGCCAATTTGATGCTCAAGTCTCTGTAAAAGAATATAATGGTTTAAATGGTGTCAAATGCAGCACTAAGATCTAATAATACAAGTACAGAGACAAGTCCATTGTCAGAAGCAATCAAAAGGTCATTATTAACTTTAACCAGAGTTTAACTTTAAACTCTGACTGAAAAGCCTCAAATAAACTATTGTTATGTGAAAAGTCACACAACTCTTTGGCAACTACTTTCTCCAGAATCTTAGAGAGGAAGGGGAGGTTAGAGATTGGTCTATAGTTGGCTAAAACCCCTGGGTCAAGAGTGGGCTTTTTAAGAAGGGGTTTAATTACAGCTACTTTAAAGGACTGTGGTACATATCCTTATTATAAAGAAAGATTAATCATATCCAGTAAAGAAGTGCCAATTAAGGGAACAACTTCTTCTTTAAGCAGCCTAGTTGGGATCGGGTCTAATAGACAGGTTGATGGCTTCGATGAAGAAATGATTGAAGTTAACTGATGAAGATCGATAGCAGAAAAACAGTCTAAATATATATCTGAGTTTACATTAGTAAAAGTCCCTGAACTTGGAGAGCCACTGATAACTGTTGATGACAGTTGGTGATTAATTTTCTCTCTAATAGTAATAATTTTATCAGAAAAGAAGCTCATAAAGTCGTTGCTACTTAAGTTTATAGGGATATGTGGCTCAATAGAGTTGTGACTCTCTGTCAGCCTGGCTACAGTGCTGAAGAGGAACCTAGAGTTTTTCTTTTTTTCTTCTATTAGTGCTGAGTAATAGGCTCCTCTGGCATTACGGAGGGCCTTTCCAGAAGTTTAAGATTATCTTGCCAAATGAAGCTATATTCTGATAATTTGGAAGAGCGCCATTTCCTTTCAGATGTCCCAGCTATTTGCTTTAATTGGCGGGTTTGGTGCTTGTACCACGGTGCTAGTCTCCTATGTTTTAATAATTTCTTTTTCATAGGAGCGATAGAGTCTAATGTTGATCGTAGTGAGCCTGCAGCACTATCAACAAGACTGTCAATTTCAGAGGGACTAAAGTTGTTATAGGACTCTGTTAAAGGTTAAAGGTTAAAGTAGTAATAGAAATGGAAAACTACTGTACAACATTCACTGGTCCTGTTCCCTGCAGATTATCGTATGTACTGTTCTACCAGAGATATTTAAATATGTTGGACTAAAAATAGTACTTTAGATTTAATTTAGGATCTTGGTTTTAAAGTAAATTATTAATTCTTAAATTCCGTTGACTGTATCTGCTAACAAGTTATTGTGACTACCCATTTAATTAAAATGTTCCAACATAGTGAAAGATGAAAAATATTGTTCTTGAGGCGTAGTGAATCAATGAAGAATCTTTGGGTGATGTTCCCATTTATTTGTCCGGAGTAGTCCACTCCTACATCGGTAAACGGAAACAAATCTTGCAGAATCCTTTCAACCGGCATGTTGACCCTTTACTGTTCTCCAACTTTCCCTTGCTGTGGCAGCAGACCGCACTGTTAAAGGTTAAATAATCTTCTGCCTTGTTCAGAAGAAACTCTGATCCTTTTAATCATTGCTACTTTCCAGGAAGTCTTCTGCTGATAATCCTCGTGAGACCTTGTCAACAGATTTCAGCTTGGTTCCAATGTGTTTCCACTGAGTGACATCTTCAGCCTGATGATGATCCCACAGTTATCCAGTCTGGATTTAACAGAAAGTGGTGGTTTTCCATAATGTCTATCTTTGTGTTTACTGTGTCCTGCAGACATCCAGCAGCTGTCGGTGATTAAAGAAGAGGTTCCCCCTGAGCAGCAGCAGGAGTGGAGACCCAGTCTGGACCAGGAGGACCCAGAGCCCCCACACATTAAAGAGGAACAGGAGGAAGTCAGGACCAGTCAGGAGGGAGAGCAGCTTCAAACATTCACTCCTGTCCCTGTGAAGAATGAAGATGATGATGATGAAGAGAAACCTCAGTCCTCACAGCTTCATCAAAGACAAACTGAACAGATGGAAACAGATGATGGAGAGGACTGTGGAGGACCAGAACCAGCCAAAATATTTAGTCAAGGTACGCATTTGCAGAAGTACATGACAACTCCCACAGGTGAGAAACCGTTTAGCTGCTCAGTGTGTCATAAAAGCTTTGGATATAAGAATAATCTGCAAAGACACATGAGAACTCACACAGGGAAGACAACATTTAGCTGCTCAGTGTGTCATAAAAGCTTTGGATATAAGAATAATCTGAAGGATCACATGACAACTCATACAGGTGAGAAACCATTTAGCTGCTCAGTGTGCTGCAAAATATTCAGTCAAGGTAAGTATTTGCAGGGCCACATGAGAATTCACACAAGTGAGAAACTGTTTAGCTGCTCAATGTGTCATAAGAGCTTCGGATATAAGAACAATCTGCAAAGACACATGAGAACTCACACAGGGGAGAAACCATTTAGCTGCTCAGTGTGTCTTAAAAGTTTTGGATATAAGAATAATCTGAAGGATCACATGACAACCCATACAAGTGAGAAACCGTTTAGCTGCTCAGTGTGCGGCAAAATATTCAGTCAAGGTAAGTATTTGCAGGGCCACATGAGAATTCACACTGGGGAGAAACCGTTTAGCTGCTTAGTGTGTGATAAAAGCTTTGGATATAAGAATAATCTGAAGGATCACATGACAACCCATACAAGTGAGAAACCGTTTAGCTGCTCAGTGTGTGGCAAAACATTCGGTCAAGGTACATATTTGCGGAAGCACATGATAATTCACACTGGTGAGAAACCGTTTAGCTGCTCAGTGTGTGAGAAAAGCTTCAATATAAAGAGTAATCTGCAGAAACACATGAAGACTCACACAGGTGAGAAACCGTTTAGCTGCTCACTGTGTGATAAAAGCTTTGGATATAAGCATTCTCTGAAGGAGCACATGATAAAACATACAGGAGAGAAACCATTTAGTTGCTCAGTGTGCCATAAAAGCTTTGGACTAAACAGTACTCTGCACAAACACATGAATACTCACACAGGTAAGAAACCATTCAGCTGCTCAGTGTGCGGAAAAATGTTCTTTCTAAAGAGTACTCTGCAGCTACACATGAGAAGTCACACTGGTGAGAAACCATTTAGTTGCTCAGTGTGCAATAAAAGCTTTGGACAAAAGAGTAATCTGAAGTATCACATGAGAAGTCACACAGGTGAGAAACCATTTAGCTGCTCAGTGTGCAGTAAAGGCTTCAGTCTAAAGAGTATTCTGCAGCGACACATGAAAACGCACACAGGGGAGAAACCATTTAGCTGCTCAGTGTGCGATAAAAGCTTCAATATAAAGTGTAATCTGCAGAAACACATGAAGACTCACACGAGAGAAACCTTTTAGCTGCTCAGTGTGCGATAAAAGCTTTGGACAAAAGAGTCATCTGCAGAAACACATGAAGACTCACACAAGAGAGAAACCTTTCCGCTGCTCAGTGTGCCAACAAAACTTCATTATAAAGAGTACTCTGAAGAGACACATGACAACTCACATTCAGCTCAGTCTGCAGTTAAAACTTCTGTATTAAAAGTACTATGCAGAGACACATGAGAACTCACAAGAGAGCAGCATGAAATGAAGAATCCTGTTCAGCTGTTACAGACTAGAAACTAGACATCAGAGATGCACCATGATCAGAACAACAGTGGCTAGGTCTGTAACTATTCTGAATCAGAGTGATGACAATGTGACAATGGAAAACAACTTTCCCCTGCCTGGCTTACGGGATCGCTGGCTAACAACTCAGCAAGAGTTTACCCATTTCTCCAGGAACCACTACACCACTGAACATAGTGGGCATAAATAGCTGTGCACAGTTTAACTGTGTTCATGACTAAGCACCGGACTGCTTAACTTTTGTAAATGTAATGTATTGATCTGGTTTTATTGTTGTGATTTTGTAATGGTTTATGTTAGGTTACTATGTTACTCATGTTCTACACTGCTATGGTGATCTTAGTTAAATGTTATGTTCCACACAGAAACAGTCTCTGTACAACTAACTCTGTTTAACTTGCCACTGTTCATATAAGATCACCTCGGCCTTTAACACAACCACACACAGCAGAGAGGACCTTTTAAAACTCTGCTTTGTCTCTGCTGAACAAGCTCAACATACAGTGCAACACACACACTCTGTTTTTATTATTTAGTTTAGTGCATTGTAGTTTGATCATATTGTGTATTTATACTTTATCTTTGTAATAAATGCTTTCAAATATACATGCTGGTTTATTAAATATTCCACAAACATGAAGGATACCAACCTCTATGTTGAGCTACAAATCCTTCAGCTGACTTAATGTGAACCTGATGAACTTAGTTATAGTTATTGAATAAATAAATTAATGTTTCTGATTAATTGTCTTGTATATTCTATGAGACTGAGTATCGTTCAGTTAATAATTTTCCTTTGGGTGGTGTCCTTAGGAATTTCTAATATAATACTGTTGAAGAAAAATCATTCAAGTCCAGTTCAGGTTTGCTGTGGTGGTGTGAGTTTGATAATGCATGCTGTCATCCTGGTGAACTTACATACACAGAGCAGGTCTGAGCCGGTGAGCTGACCCAGAGCAAATTAAATAAGGTACTTTTATAAATGGACCAATACAATAGACAGTATGTAAATGGTAGCTATTGATCAGGCAGTCAAGGTAGTGATCAGACCAAATGTGATGGAGACAAAGGGCAGCAAAGGTAGGTGTGGGGGTTTGGTGAATGGGGAAGGAATACAAGATTACACATTTAGTATATGAAGATCAAGGGACCCACACAGTATGGGTGGGGGGAATTGTTTTATATTTGTGAATGGAAAAACATATAAACTAATTGAAGTAAACTGAATCATATTATGTGTTATTAGGATTTTATAAATTAAATTTTTGTAAATAATAATTTTGGTAACCTTACAACCTCAGCAGAGAAAGTGGTGCGCACCCCCTGAAACCTCTGGCGCCCCCCTTGGGGGGGCCCGGACCCCAAGTTGAGAACCACTTTTCCACACCATCCCTTATGGTAAATACTCAAACGGATTCATTCCATAAATCCAGTAGAAACCCTTTGGTTGTAGTACAGAGCAGTGATTGATCATTATAACAAAGTGGTTGTAGTTATTAATTCTTTTGGACTCTAGTATCAGTTCTTCTGATGAATGCAGAGTCATTTTGGATGTTCCCAAGTGAATGTTGCCCATACCTTCAACACACCATTTTAAGTTGTTTGGAACCACTGAGAGGGTGAGAGGGGTAGCGCAACAATAACAGTCTGTGTAAATTAGCTCGTAATGTAATTTTCTAATTTGTGGCAGATTGGGACTAGCACAATGTTCATGGGTGAAGTTTAGCACAAGACAAGTGTCACAGGGAGTGACAGGCCAAGCCATGGCATGTCTTGTGTCTGCTTCTGGGACTCGGTTGCCTGCGTAGTTCCCCAGGGAGAGGAGTCATTCCCAGGAAAGTAGTTGACCTTGTATGGCACTGTAGGTGATGAGGAAGAGGACCAACCAGATGAATAGGGATTCTGTTGATTCCTGGTTTATGGTGCGGGAACCTTCCTACAGTGGGATCCAAGTGGGCTGACCTTAACACTGGACTGCTATGTTGGTCCTAAGCAGACCTGTTGAGGTTAGGACCAGCTGGGTTTCAGGGAGTTTTCCTTTTGGAGCTCTCTGATACAGACCCAGTGCTGTGGTTGGATGTGACACGGGGTTGTCACTAGGAAGAGACTGGACAGCTTTTATTTGTTTGTGGATAAGCTGAACAGCAGAGGTTAAAACAGAACAAATACATCTCTGACTCATCCATTGCATGGAGATTCAACTTTCCGTACATGGTATTGAGTAACTTGGTAAGAGTCATTGTTCTTTGGCGTCCATTGGGTAGAAGTTTGTGTCCAAATCCAGACCAATTTCTTTCAGCAGGCATTTTCTTAAAAATCAATGTCAGCCTTCTTGCAGGTTTGAGGCTTCAGGCTTGCACATACATTTTTTGTGAACATTTAAAACATTTTTAAATCCATACATTTTGCAACAAAGTCAATTGAATTTCAACTTCAAAGGGTCCCCGTGGGGGAGGATGCACAGGCACTGTTGTCTGTAGCTTTTCAACACTATCTGACACAACCCGCTTTTGCTCACATGTGACAAGCCATGTGACATGTGAGCAATCCACGGGTCCAGGGAGCTGGGAGCCACAATGCGGCAGACATTGTGGACCCACAAATTATTTACACATCATATTTACATCCATGGTAAATTCACTGTAAGCTTCAATCAAATTTCATATTATCATTCTTCACATAGATGAACTGTGAACTGCTCCTGATGCTGTGCGTCACTGTGTGAGTGTGGAGGCAGTACGGCTGTCAGAATTGGGCAAAAATGACTATGAATATGCTTTCCAATAAACCCACATATAATTGATTTAATCGACTATCTATTGCACATATGTATTTTTTATGATAATGTGCATTATGTCCAGATAAGGCAAGTCAATCTCTGTTTAGCCGACATTATGACCGCAAATATTTAAATATGTTGGACTTACAAATAACAAATAATAATACTTTAGATTTAATTTAGGATCTTGGCTTTAAAGTAAATTATTAACTCTTAAATTCCATTGACTGTATCTACTAAGAAGTACTATTGTGACTACCCATTCAATAAAAATTTTCCAACATAGTAAAAAATGAAAAATACAGTTTTTTATGCGTAGTGAATCAATGAAGAATCTTTGGGTGATGTTCCCATTTATTTGTCCGGAGTAGTCCACTCCTACATCGGTAAAAGGGAACAAATCTGGCAGAATCCTTTCGTCCAGCATGTTGACCCTTTACTGTTCTCCAACTTTCCCTTGCTGTGGCAGGGACCGCACCGTTAAAAGTTTCCTTCTTCAGAAGAAACTCTGATCCTTTTAATCATTGCTTACTTTTCAGGAAGTCTTCTGCTGATAATCCTCGTGAGACCTTGTCAACAGATTTCAACTTGGTTCCAATGTGTTTCCACTGAGTGACATCTTCAGCCTGATGATGATCCCACAGTTATCCAGTCTGGATTTAACAGAAAGTGGTGGTTTTCCATAATGTCTATCTTTGTGTTTATTGTGTCCTACAGACGTCCAGCAGCTGTCGGTGATTAAAGAAGAGGTTCCTCCTGAGTAGCAGCAAGCAGGAGTGGAGACCCAGTCTGGACCAGGAGGACCCAGAGCCCCCACACATTAAAGAGGAACAGGAGGAAGTCAGGACCAGTCAGGAGGGAGGGCAGCTTCAAGGGTTCACATTCACTCTTGTCCCTGTGAAGAATGAAGATGATGATGATGATGAGAAACCTCAGTCCTCACAGCTTCATCAAAGACTAACTGAACAGATGAAAACAGATGATGGAGAGGACTGTGGAGGACCAGAACCAGACACAATATTTGGTCAAGGTACGCATTTGCAAAAGCACATGAGAATTCACACAGATGAGAAACTGTTTAGCTGCTCAATGTGTCATAAAAGCTTAGGATATAAGAATAATCTGCAAAGACACATGAGAACTCACACAGGTGAGAAACCATTCAGCTGCTCAGTGTGTAGTAAAAGCTTTGGATATAAGAGTATTCTGCAGTTACACATGAGAACTCACACAGGAGAGAAACCATTCAGCTGCTCAGTGTGCAATAAAAGCTTTGGATATAAGAGTAATCTGCAGTTACACTTGAAGACTCACACAAGAGAGAAACTTTTCAGCTGCTCAGTATGCCAACAAAACTTCATTAAAAAGAGTTCTCTAGAGGACCACATGACAACTCACACATTCAGCTCAGTCTGCAGTTAAAGCTTCTGTATTAAAAGTACTATGCAGAGACACATGAGAACTCACACAAGAGAGCAGCAAGAAATGAAGAATCCTGTTCAGCTGTTACAGACTAGAAACTAGACATCAGAGATGCACCATGACATCAGAACAACAGTGTCTGGCGGCTAGGTCTGTAACTATTCTGAATCAGAGTGAGTGATGACAATGTGACAATGGAAAACAACTTTCCCCTGCCTGGCTTACGGGATTGCTGGCTAACAACTCAGCAAGAGTTTACCCATTTCTCCAGGAACCACTACACCACTGAACATAGTGGGCATAAATAGCTACGCACAGTTTAACTGTGTTCATGACTAAGCACGGGACTGCTTTACTTTTGTAAATGTAATGTATTGATCTGGTTTTATTGTTGGGATTTTGTCATGGTTTATGTTAGGTTACTGTGTTACTCATGTTCTACACTGCAATGGTGATCTTAGTTAAATGTTATGTTCCACACAGAAACAGTCTTTGTACAATTAACTCTTTAACTTGCCACTGTTCATATAAGATCACCTCGGCCTTTAACACAACCACACACAGCAGAGAGGACCTTTAAAACTCTGCTTTTTTTAAGAAGGGTTTGTGATTCGTCTGATGTCCAAAAATATACCCAAAGTCGGTGATAATTGCGTTCAAGCAAGCAAGTAGGGGTTCTATTAATGACCACATGGTGGAGATATTGTAGGTATAATTTTATGAAATGTTACACATACGTGCAATATGGTTGTATGTACAAAAATCCCAAATTTGTTTGCCTGTGAAGTACATTTTTAGTTACGGATTTTGGTGAAGATTAGATGAAATAGCATATGTTTTTAGGGCATGAATGGGTGTGGTCTATATTGGTAAAATTGGCATCATCCAAAGAACCCACTGTACAAAAATGTTTCTTCTACTCAACAGTTATTAGATAAAAAATATAGTATTGTAAATGAATAACATAAATCAAGTTAAAGTCAAACTGGAATGATCTTCTGTATAACAGATGTTAAGGCTGTAGGTTCAGTGTCCCCAACCTGGCTGCTGCCGCAGAGGAGGAGGACCTGGGGAGACGACATGCTGCAATATTCTGAATTTAGAATGCAGTTCTCGTTTTAAACACTAGCTGTCAGTGTTACACATTTAATCCACCACCTGCAAAGAGCTCAGTGACCAAAGAACAGCCTCGTGGGACTGATGATAAATGACCCCCCAGTTAGGATTCTGTTAGTCATTATAAGGAGAAACTGGTTAAAATATCAACTTTGTATCATTAAGTCATTTTGACTGGATGCAGTATTTTAAGATTATTTTGAGTTTCTCATTATAATGTCTTACAGAATCCTTTTTGTTTGGTCTTTGAGTAAAGAAGAGGTTCCCCCTGAGCAGCAGCAGGAGTGGAGCCGCAGTCTGGACCAGGAGGACCCAGAGCCCGAACACATTAAAGAGGAACAGGAGGAAGTCAGGACCAGTCAGGAGGGAGAGCAACTTCAAAGGTTCACATTCACTCCTGTCCCACAAAGCAATTCAACGGCCATTCTTCAGTCTGATTCTGAAGGAGTGGTTTGTGCCGGTTCTTCCTGTTTGGTCAGTTTATGTTTCACGTTCAGTTTAGAACTCATAAACAAAGATGTTTAACTTGGTAAAGATGCCCCACTGGATTCATACTGAAACTGTACTTCAATCACTGTGTTTTATGGTTAACTAACCTTCACCCCTTTAAGCACACAGAACGGCTTTATGGAAGAACATTTCAGCCAATGTGAGGATAAAAAAGGATTCTGTAAGTTATTATAAAGAGAAACATTCTCAATATTTTCACTGAATATCTCAAAAGAAAGACTGATCTATCTATATTATAATAAAGTCATTATTATTATTTCCATTCTGCTGATATAGCGGCGCAGTGAACGAACGGTTTAATCTGATTCTGGTACAGCCCTAATGTTTTATTATTAATATGTGGTTGGTGTATCAGAATATAATGTGAAAGGTTATTATTAATGTCACTTTATGATTCTGTGCAAATAAAAGGTTTTTGTTTGTTGTTAGTGGGGATGAAGAAGTGTGAAGAACCAGAGAGGACTCTGAGCCAGCAGCCACCGCAGTCGAGGAACGCCACAATGTCAGGATGTAACGCACATTTTATCTGAGAGAATGAGGATGTTTGTTTATCTTGTGTGTAGTGGTTACTCAATCTGTGACGTATTGATTATCTGTCACTGATTGATAATCATTATTATTATTGAATATTATTGTTTTATGTATTTACGGTCTCAGAACTGCAACAAGCTGTAAAATAAACAAATACATTTAAACCAACAAATCTCGTGTGCACAAGAGGACATGTGTTCAATATTTCAGTGAGGTTCTGGTTCTGGTTCTGGTTCAGAGTGGACTTCTGACCCCCTCTGAAGAAGTTTTGTTGAGTGAATGAAAACAAACAGCAACAGATTGAATTTAATGAAAAGATTTGTTTAATCTGTCAGAACGAACAGCTGCTTCGTGTTGGAACACCCCCCCCCCGTGTGTGTGTGTTAGCATTAATTAGCATGTCTTATCTCTCTCGGCTGGATGCTGTGAGCTAAATGCCACCCCGTCTCGCTGATCCTCGCTGATAAACCCCGTCTGTCTGATCGACGCTCAAACTAAAGGTTCTCTGGATCAGACGCTGTGCTCTGATTGGACGATCACAGATGAACAAGAAGTTCGGACAGGGTTTGTTTGAGCGGAGGGAATCGAACCATCCACCCTGCCGCCCTCAGTGGTTAATAAAGCTTGATGAGGAGGTGGCATGCTGCTGTCAGATCTGTTTTAGGAGAGTTAGAGTTGCCTGTGGAGCGCTGAGGCCTCAGGCAGATCAGCCTCTGCGGGGGTCTAATCAGGGAGGACTGATCGATCGCCGATGATTGATCGGTGTATTTTTAGATGAGCGTCGTTACAGGAACTGTGCAGAAAGTTCTCGTACAGTTTCACCTTTTCTTTCTCTCCAAACAACAGAAACCACCTGAGACTTTTTGTCCCCGGTCCTGAACTAGGACAACGAGCTCCACCAATCAGATGCTTACAGAACTGCCTGACAGACAAAACTCAGGACAAACAGTCACAGTGTAAATCAGGAGGTCATCAGCAGCTTTATGAAGAACTTTTATTTAACAAAAATAAATGAATCTGAGGGACGGACACGGAAACTTTAAAACAAAGACAGAAACATGCAGAGAGACAGGTGTGTGTGTGTGTGTGTGTGTGTTCTATCTTTGTGGGGACGTTCAGGGCTCAGAGGTTATGTCCTCACAAGTATAGAAGTCCGTGGTCTGTGTGTGTGTTCAGTAGCAGCGCAGGAAGAAAGTGTTACAGGCCGTTCCTCTCAGACAGTCACACAGCCGACCAATCCGAGGGCCGTGTTTCATCGCACAACGCTCGCCCACATCACACTGAGAGACAGACAGGCAGAGAGAGAGACAGAGAGAGAGAGACAGGTTCAGTTGAAGCTTCAGAAGAAATAAACTCTGTGTGGTAGAAACACTGAACGGGGCTCAGCAGCCTCCTAGTGAACACAGACAGACAGAGGACAGTTTGACGACAGCGGTACCGAGGTGATTCATGGAGTTTCCTGATGGACATGTTGCTAACAGAAGCTAACTGTCGCTAACAGTATTGTTAGATGCCATTAGCTAGTTAGTTGTGCAGCTAACGTTAGCGGACTCAGTCCTTTATTCGCTGCAGTCAAACTGACCTCCGTCAGCATCAGGAGCTGCATTCAGTCCCAGTCTGGACCCGCTGTTCACTGGGAGTCTGCTAATGGATGGGGGGGGTAACACACAGCAACACCGGAGTGACTCACACTGTCAGATCAGAACACACTCACTCACACACACATACACTCACACTGACACACACACACTCACTCACACACACATAGACTCACACTGACACACACACTCACACTGACACACACACATACACTCACACTGACACACACACACTCACACTGACACACACACACTCACTCACACACACTCACACACACACACTGACACACACACACACACTCACACACACATACACTCACACTGACACACACACTCACACTGACACACACACACACACTCACACACACATACACTCACACTGACACACACACTGACACACTCACACTGACACACACACACATAGACTCACACTGACACACACACACTGACACACACACACACTGACACACACACACATACACTCACACTGACACACACACACACATACACTCACACTGACACACACACACACTCACACTGACACACACACACTGACACACTCACACTGACACACACACACTCACTCACACACACATACACTCACACTGACACACACACACACACACACACACACACACACACACACACACACACACACACACTCACACACACACACACACACACACACTCACACTGACCACCACACACACACACACTCACACTCACACACACACACATACACTCACACTGACACACACACACTCACTCACACACACATACACTCACACTGACACACACACACACACACTCACACTGACACACACAGTGTTTGATTGACAGCTGTCACTCATTTTCTCACCCTGGGGATGACGCTGGCTTTCTTTTCCACAGAGAGACCGACGCTGCTGTCGGCTTCATCCAGGAAACCCTGCAGAGCTTCAGCCTGAACACACACACATAGACACACACACACACACACACACACACACACACAGACACACACAGAGAGAGAGACACACACACACACACACAAACACAAAACACAGAGACACACACACACAGACACACACAGAGACACACACATACACACACAATAATTAATAAAAATAAGCTTTTAACAACCAACATTTGTTTATGTCAATAACTACACTGTAAAATAATCTGTATGTTTATGATTAATTTACAGATTTTTTTCTGTATTTTTTAAATGTAAACATTAATTAATGTTATTGTTTTTAGTGTGTTAATATCATTAATTAAACAATAAAAATACTAAAAATACAAAACATTTTTTTAAATTAAAGCTTAAGACTGCATTTTAATTATAGAAAATTACAGTTTTTTTTACGAGTTATTTATTTTCTGTTTAGATTTTCTGATTTTCTTGTTTGTTTATCTTTCAGATAAATTCATAATATTTGCAGTAAGGCTGCAGATGTAACTGATTGATTGATTGATTGTAAAATTAAAACTGCTGATTACAGAATTCATCATCATCAGTGAGCGACCTTCATCACCTTAATTAGTGCCAACGGCCTTCGTTTGGATCAATACGTTTAATTGGCTTCAGTATCACTATCAGTCAATTCAGCATTTTAAACCTTTTAATGATCTTAAACTTGAATTGTTTTAATTGAACCGTATTTTAACAGCTCCATTAAAATGTATTGATCTTTCTTACACTGTAAAACACGTCTTAATAAAATAAGTAAGTTAACATAAATTAACTCTCATTCAGTCTCATGAATGAAAAGTGTCCAGTATTTTAATTATTGATGATATAATTACAGTTTGTTCCACTGACTCATTTTCTTGACTTTATATCTTTTATAACAATGTTAGCATTATAATGCTGTATAGGTTAGCATTTTATTAATCATCATTAACTCGAGTATGCATCCAAATAATTCTTAATGATCACTCAAAGTAATACGTTTAAAGAAAATAACTTCAGTTAACTTGACCTGTCAAATGACCTTAACAATAAATGCTTTAGTTCTACTCAAATCAAATCTGTTTAAATAAGTGAATAAACTTAAATGGTTAACAGTTTGAGTTGAACTAACTCACAGTGTAATTAGTATTTTATTAATACATTAACAGATTAATATTTTATTTGTCTTTGTTAAAACAAGCAAATTAAAAGATTCTTTAAGCAGCTTTTACTTGTAAATTTAAGTGACACTAAGTTAGTTTTATAAGTTACAGAAACATTCCTGATTAATAACTTTACTGGATATTTTGTTTTCATAGTACAAGTAAAATGACAAAATTACTAATTACAAAAACCACTTGAGGAATATATTTAGTTCAATTACTTTTACTTTAAAAAATCTGATTTTTAATCTTGTTTTACAGTGTACGTGCGGACAGATGACTCACCAGCTCTTTGGTTGTGAGTCCGATGGCGGGCTCATCCGGGGCAGACGGCAGCCTGCTGTCGGGGGACCTTTGACCCTCGCACAGTGATGTCAGCACGGACAGACAGACAGACAGGTAGACCACGGCTCGCACACTCTCCATCATCAAAAATACTTTTAAAAACCTAAAAACAATTCAAGCAGAGTAATGTTTGTCTTTTACACTGTCAAAAAAAAGTTGTAAAAAAAACCCAGTAATGTTCCGTCAACTAGAGCCAAAAGATACAGAAAATAACTCGTAAAAATACAGAAATCTTCTATAATTAAAATACAGTTTGAAGCTTTTGCTTTTTAATGTTTAATTAACGATATATACACTGTAAAAACAATTAAATGAGCTATAAATATAGGTAATCAGGCTTTCAGTTTATTATTTTAATGTGAATGTTAAAAGTTCTAGAAGTGTAATAAAAGTCATTATCTGTGAGATTACAGTAATTATTGCTGTTTACACTGATAACAACTGTATTTGGACAGTTTACCAATGCTTATACACTGATAAACAACATTGATTCAACATTAATGCCACTAATTTTACATCATTTTAAAAATGTATGAAGAGTATTAAACATGGATTTAAAGGAAGCACAAATCTGAGGAAAAATTATGGATTTGCAAATATATTTTAATCTTTTTATGTGAAAACATTTTCTTTAAATAAGCAGTAATGTTATACTAAATTACAGTTACAGATTATTTCATGTATTTAAACAAATAAACAGGAAAACCGTGTAAACAAGTGTGTAAAAGTGAAACTCACGATTGAAGTAATTAAAGATCCTGCTGGAATATTGTACAATACTCTTCTTCTTTGGTGTCTAATTCCAGTCAGTTCCTCCTGGTCTGAGTCCTCCAGCAGCTCCTCGTACTGTGCGGCTGTTGCTCCTCCTGTATTTATAGCGCCTCCTCCACCCGCTGCCGCCGCTCGCTCGCACTATTCATGGATTCAGCCGTCAGACACAACGTGGCGTGCTCTGCTGTGATTGATGATGTATCTGTGAGGTTAATATTAAACGGCTCCATGCTGACATGTAAACACCCTGCAGACCTGTGTGTCGGTGTGCGGAGGTCAAAGGTCAGACAGTGACTCACAGCTGAAGGTCAGATTAACCCCAGAGGAGCTGAGACTGACCGTCAGTTCATTATGTGCAATTACAGATCATTGATTGGCTATTGATTGATTGTTTGTTACTGTGCTCACAAGATGATCCTTTAAAGCTGTGTGTTGGCCCCTGTGTGGCCCCTGTGTTGGCCCTGTATGGCCCCTTGTGTTGGCCCTGTATGGCCCCTGTGTGGCCCCTGTGTGGCCCCCTGTGTTGGCCCCTGTGTTGGCCCTGGATGGCCCCTGTGTGGCCCCTGTGTGGCCCCTGTGTTGGCCCCTGTGTTGGCCCTGTATGGCCCTTGTGTTGGC